GGTTTTTTATTTTTTAACTCCCTCTCTCTCCCTCTCTATCTCTTTCACACACACACACACACCTCAATCAACATTGTTTTGTTTAACTTTGTGGGGCAAACTGCCAAGAACGTTAAGAAAAAAATCAGTTTAATCAAAGTAAAATAAATAAATATACATAAAGTTGTGTCTGGTTCTAGTTTCATATTTCCTAGTTCCTACTGCATGAGTTCAGATGTATTAATCCATGCACTTAAATATTAATGTCCTGATTATATTGAAACACTTGTTCTGTAATAGTTCCTTTACTATTGTGATCAAAAATATTTAATCTCAATTCTGAGGCTGCTCTGTAAATAGTTTTCAAATAAACACACATATCAACTTCTGATCATTCCATATCAATTTCAAACTTAAAATAATATATTGATGTAAACCACACCCACTTCCGGGTTATGCCACGCCCATTCCGAGTACAGATACAGATACAGATAGTGGTGTACTCGCTCATCCCTAATAATATGTAGCTTCAGATTAAAAATTATGTGGTACAAGACAAATATATATGTTGACTAGTGCGTGTCACGTGTGTGTGCGCGCGTGCGTGTGTGTGTGTGTTAAGCCCCGGATCTTCTTCAGTCCTTATTTCGCCCCTGCTCAATAATATTTTTATGGAATATTACATTTTATTTATTACCTATATTCTCCTTATATTCTATTGATAATTTATTAAAACTAACCACGTAGAACTCGTTACATTGTTTCTGTTGACTGTATTACGGTGTTCTCCGTTGGGTCCTTGTGGTCCTGTTTTATGTTAGTGATGTGGGCTTTATTTCACTCTTCTTGTAGTTTTAAACGTCTCTGAATCTGCAGGTTTGGGTCTTTCTGCTTCACACCACGGCTCGACACAGTATGACTCTGACTAACAGTTTAATCAGCTGTACATCCCATCCAGAAACAACCACGTAAACGAGGAAAGACAGATCAGTTTAGCACAATGAAGGTTTTGGTCTTCGAGACTTGTCTTCTGAAGCAGCAACAGGACCTGGTCATCCCAGGGTTGGTTCTATGTTCAAAAATCTTCTTTTGACTTTTCTGGATCTGAATCCGTTCAAAACAAAGCTAAACATTTGGAAGTTGGAGCCACCCACCTGTAGGCCCAGGGGGAGATGCTGAGCAGGTTGACCGGGAGGCGGGTCTTGCTGTCGGTTTGGACCCAACCTGCGTCCGGGCAGCTGATGTTGAGTTGGTTCTGGGGCTCCAGCTGCAGCGCGTGATGAAACGCGCTCATCACGCCCACTGACAGACGCCCGAACATTTGCTCCAACAGTTCCTCTGGCAGGTCCAAACAGGACCGGCGTCTGGTGGCCTTCTTTCGGATCCGAGCCGGTCCTGCCGGCCGGACCGGCAGCAACATCGCCAGGTGTAGAACCAGCAGCAGGACGTGGATCCGAAACCGCATCGTGGTGCTGCGCCAGAACGCGCTTCCACCGCTGAGGATTTGCTCTTTTACAGAAACGAATCTCGGCTCGTGTCTCGCTGACACGCTCAGTGACGACCGGAGATGATCGGTGGAAAGGGCGCGTCAGAGGGAACGCACCCAGGAGGTCCAGCCCGAACCGCTGCTGCTGGCTTTTATCTGCTCAACGCACGCGCGCAGGCGCACATGAAGCAGTGCCGGGGTGGGCGTGTGATTGTGGGAGCAGAAATCGGACATTCTGGTGGAATTCTGACTCCAGCTACCCCACCTCTCTCTCTCTCACACACACACACACACACACACACACACACACACACACACACACACACACACACACACACACACACACACACACACGCACACACACACACACACACTCCCCAGCATTTTAACCCTCTGGAGGCAGGCGTTGCAGATTAGCAATGTTAAAACCTACCTGGTTACTCCACATACGTGTTTCATGAGTATTTTAAACTCAGAAGAACCCCTGAAGGACTTGGTTATTCGTCCTTTCATCAACACTTATTTTGAGCCTGAGAGGGTAAACCTGCTGCGTGCTGCTTTGTCTGGAGGTCTCCCACAGAAAGGTTTTGGTGAGTAGACATCATCGCCTGCATTCTAACAGGTTGTTTCATTGTTTTAGTTTAGTTAATAAAAGAGAGCTCACTTCCTGAACTCTTCAGTTCTAACGAGCTCCCCTGTTCGGCCGACTGGGTCGGTTAAGCATCAGGAACCATCCTACAGGTCAGACCTTCTTTGCAACCCTGCAAAGCTGCATCAGATGCAAAATAGTTCTGCCAGATTCCAGCAGTCACCTGGAAGGTATCTCAGACCAGAGGTTCGGTGTGGTGGAACTACATGCTGCAAATACCACAGAAGTCAAACTCCACCGGCAGTCTGTCCGTGTCGACTGCTCCGGACCCCATGGATCACTGGGAGCCTTCACCACAAAGAGTTTGTAGATTCTGCAAAAGTGGCATGGGATGGTTGTATTCATGGATAAGTTTGTTAAGCCATACAGTCAGACCTCGTCGTGTTCTGTGTCCCGTCAGCGTTACCCATCTTGTGCTCTCTAGGTTCCTGCTCATACCTTTGAGCTTTTGTTTTGGCTTCCAGTGTTTGGTACGCAAGGCTTAGATGCAAGCCCTGATTGGTCGCGACTCCTCCTGAATAAAGGATTATTGTTTTTGAACTCAAACTCAGTGTCGTTCTGGGTTTTCTGCACCTTGGGTCCAACCCTCTACTCAACGTGACAGACCTATCTCATAACCCAGACATCACAGTTTTCTAACACACTTCATTAGGGTTAGCTACATAGCATTGAGGAGTGGCAACATATGTAACAAATGCTCAACAAGATGTGATGCTCCATACAAATATGAAATATCAATCTGATTGGTCTTTGAATGTTTAATCAGAAGATTCTAGTTTCGATTACTCATCAGGGACCATAAACACACTTCACATTGATTCAGACAGTATATAGTTTATTGAAGGAATTCAATTATTTTCCCTAAACAAATGATTGTACAAGACAAGGTATGAAAGGAATGGTGGGGTGGAAGCAAGGCCGGATTAACCATATGGGCAACTGGTCAATTGCCCTGGGCCCACGAACTCTAAGGGCCCAGGGCAGCAAGGGCGGACAAAGTACTGTATCTGTAATCTCTCGCTTCATATTAAACTAGGGTGACCGTACGTCTGGTTTTCCCCGGACATGTCCACTTTTCACTCTGGGCGTCTGGACTGGGGGTTCTTGATGAAAATGACCAGTGTTCCATCCAGGAGCAGGGATCAAATTATGGGGAGCTGTACTGTATATCCTACACATCCAAGGGAGCCGAAAAAAAAGTTTTCTATATATTACATCATTTATGGACTCTTTTGAGCAGAGAGCACAGGGAGCGGCAGAGCGCTGATCGTTGCTGCGCAGCGCTCCAGGCTGCTGCGTCCAGCGCACGGTCCATTCTCAAAGCGGCACAACCAAAAAACTATAATTAGCACACGATCGTTGATGTCCGCACATGTTCTCTGCTTTCTGTCTTATTTGTGCCTGGCGCTCTGCTACTGCGGAGCTCATCACCTGTGCTGCGGTGATTTCACCTCACTGACGGAGCATCGAAACGCGCTCTCCGCTTTGCGGTCAGGAGATCCCTTTGATCTGCTCAGAAGTAACTGATGAGGTGAAAAAGTAAGAATCCAGGTCGCAGTTTTTCTGGAGAGTTTAGAGGAGATGCAGGAAGATGAGAGACAGACAGGACAGGACAATAGTTCAATAAAAACAAGAAAACAAAACAAAAAGTAAAATGTAGGTAGATTTATCTCCACGACACGTTTTTACCTGTATAAAGCAATAAGTTACACACATGTAATAATTATACATCTGATACAATTCAGATCACCTTCAATACTCAGTCACACAGCCAGGGCCGTTTCAAGACATTTTGGGGGCCAAGGCAAAATGACCCCCCCACCCCCCAATAACTGGGCTCCCCAGAAGCCTCTGTGTAATTCATGCCCTCTCCAGGAGTGTTAGTTATACGGTGTTTATAAAAGCCCCTCAGACATTACTGACATGTTCTAATATTATCAGATGAAAACTAAATTATCAGACATGCTGTCTCATCTGCTGCTTTTCTAAACTTGCTAAAAGTAACAAAACCGTTTGAAAGCCACTATTTGTGGATTCTCTGGAAGTTTCCATGGAGTGTGCGACAACTTATTTTTTCATTGATCCTATCGTCTAATCTCACAGCTGAAACAAGCATCCTTAATAATCTGTGCACAGGAAGCGTACCGATGCTGTAGTAAAACAAAAGGTATAATAATTTATTATTAATAAAACCTTGTTGCAGCACTAAAGCAGAAAAATTAGATTTTGCATTAAATATGCAAAATATTTACATATGAATTGTTTTAGAGCCCTTTTATTGGCAGAATCTGATATTAATTTAGTTCTTACAACAAAATGGGTCCCAACATGGTTTGTGTGGCGTTGCCATAGTGTGACGTCATAGGCACAGATCCCCTGTCCTCTTGTTTGGAAATGGAAATATGATCACCCTACATTAAACAAACTGTCCACCCGGGCTTTTGCACTGCACAGAGACGCTTCGCTGCCTACGACTGAACGTCAGTTGAGAGTCAGTCTCATGCAGACTGACCAATGAAGAGAGGGCCTCAAGTTAAGACCCTCTCCTCATTGGTCAGTCCACACGAGGTGGGTCAAAGGTTACCCTGAGCGGGTTACGTGATGTCAGGCATTCAAGTATTGAGTATATTTACTGCATATTACAGTAATATATTCTGTATGTGACCACATTATGGTGATCCTTGGGTCGTGATGATGGGGCCCTTGAATATTGTTGCCCAGGGTACAACAAAGTGTTAATCTGGCCCTGGATGGAAGCTAGATGTTTTAGCAAAACCTTTCTTACGTATCTGACGGTTTGTGGAGTCTGGGTTGTAAAATCAATTTGACTGTAATTCTTGTAAACTACAGATTTGTTTATAAACCATCTGACGCAATTTGTGTTGAGTCTACACACCCATGTGTGGAGATCCTGGTGCGATCCAGGGGGTCAAGAGGTCAGGATGGACCCTGCCGATGGCGTGGACTTCTAGGTACCAGGAACTCGTAGATTAGCTCTGATGCGACCCGTCTGGTCTGGGATCTCTCCAAGTCACGACAAGAAGCCAAATTGGCCGGACCGGGAGTCAGCTAGAAACTGACAAGATCAGGAAGTAATTTCTGTTTAATCAGCTTCTATTCATAAAACACTGGGCCGTTTCTTCTCAGTGTGAAGTGGATGTTAAACATTAATAATAACCTTATCATGTGTATGAGTACACTGATAGATTCAAACATTTTGTTCATTCAACACATTTGATTATTTCAGTTGTAAAGTCACTTATGAACTTTAGGGAAGATGAACTTTATTCGGAGTGAAGATGCAGGAGTCTCGCTTCTGCATGAGACCTTGGCTGAAGATGTCGTGTCGTGGTGACAAGCTCTGGTGCAGAGCTCTCTGGTTTGGAGGCCAGACAGATGTAATGCGACCCTGGGTGTGTGACGCAGTGTGTAGCTGCAAATTAAAAGTTAATTTCTGGTCATGTTGATGAAAACGTGACCTTTGATCTGCTACACACACTTCAGAAGACGAGACTTTTACTGCTTATAAAATTATTTCTTTCAATCTACAGGTTTTCAATCGTGTTCTGTGTTATCTACCATGAATGTTCTGAAGTGATTTTATGACCAATTAACTATCAGTTACATTCACATAATAATATTATATTAACAAATGATTGTTAAGGTCCTTCCTCAAGTGGAGGAGTTTAAGTATCTCGGGGTCTTGTTCACGAGTGAGGGTAGGAGGGATCGGGAGATCGACAGGCGGATTGGCTCAGCGTCTGCAGTGATGCGGACGCTGAGCCGATCTGTCATGGGGAAGAGGGAGCTGAGCCAGAAAGCCAGGCTCTCGATTTACCGGTCGATCTACGTCCCAATCCTCACCTATGGTCATGAGCTTTGGGTAATGACCGAAAGAACGAGATCGCGGATACAAGCGGCCGAAATGAGTTTCCTCCGTAGGGTGGCCGGGCTCAGCCTTAGAGATAGGGTGAGGAGCTCGGACATTCGGGAGGGACTCGGAGTAGAACCGCTGCTCCTCCGGATCGAAAGGAGTCTGTTGAGGTGGTTTGGGCATCTGGTCAGGATGCCTCCTGGACGCCTCCCCGGGGAGGTGTTTCGGGCATGTCCTGCCGGCAGAAGGCCCCCGGGTCGACCCAGGACACGTTGGAGAGGTTACATCTCCAATCTGGTCCGGGAACGCCTTGGGGTCCTGCCGGAGGAGCTGGTGGACAAGGCCGGGGAGAGGACGGCCTGGAGCTCCCTAATTGGGATGCTGCCCCCGCGACCCGGACCCGGATAAGCGGAGGAAGACGAAGACGAAGACGAAGACAAATGATTGTTTAATAGATTTACTCCATATATTAAGTGTCTCAGAAAGGGGAAGGGCTGAGGGTCGTGGTGAACATCTACACACATTTATCAGATCTGGTTGGTCAAAGTTAATAGACAACCATTTTATTAAAAGTGAATCACTTCCTTTTCCCCCAGTTCCACCAGAACTCCCAGTTCAGCCAAAGCTCACAGCTCATGCTGAATGACCATCCTACGGCGATTAAACCAGATTTTTCTGTGGAATAACTTCAGCAGCACATGAACCATCCTTTTGAATCAACAATTATTATTTGCTCAATCCATCAGCCACTCATCAGACATGAAACGGTCCACCAGAAGCTACCTGGGAAGTATCTTCTGAGCAGTCGTGCGTTTGCTGAGGGTGTCTACGACCTTCAGACACATCAGAAGTCCACTCCCTCGCTCTGACAGTCGGCTTCACCTGCAGACCGGATCTCCAGAGCTTCCATGATCCAGGGTGTGTGGACTAAACAATGGTGTCAGAGTGGTTGGTATTAATCTGATAACTTGTTAAATTACATCCAGCAAACAGCCAAATGTGTTTAATAAACCAGACATCACCTTTCTGAGTCACTTAGAAAACTCTTAAACACACCAGGTCATCAGAGTTCATTCATTGTCTCATTCAACATCACTGTGTCACCATTCATGATCATT